TTTTTAACTCAAATTACTTAATTCTTATTAAATTAATTAATTCTTTCATTCAATTTGATATTCAGTTAATTCAAGATTTTAAGTTAAGCAGGTTATTTACTTTTTTAAGTTCAAATTTGAGGGGATTAGATAAAATATCCACTTAGAAGGAATAAGAAAGTAAAATGAAGTGAAAAGCAGAAGTCAACTATGTGTATTAAGGACAATAGCTGCAGAATGAGCTGTTCATGTCTGAACCCACACATTGCTCCATAATAGAAACTGTGCATTTGGACTTCAACTCCAGTATAAATATATAGAACTGTTTTATGGTGTTGTTAACTAGATTTCTGCCTATCAAATTCCATTACTTGTGAATGATGCTTCATAACAGTGTTACAATTGGATTAAATGTCATTGTACTTTAAGGGTCCTTAGTTCAATATAATGCCATTCTCTTCATAAAACATCATATATGATAAAATATGATGAGAGATGATACATTATCTATTAATTATTTCTTCAAACCTTTGCGTTCACCTGTATATAGGGACATTCATAATCTGAATTTCCCTAACGAAGCCTCTAGAGGGCAGACTATGCAAAGTAACCAACAGTCAGACTCAATACTTAACAAGCAAAATTTTAATGCTTTACTCAGCAGATGCATAAAATGCAATTTGATAAAAATATTTTCTGCAAGACTTTTAAATGATTTTATTACATTTTACTTGCATGATAAAAAATAGTGGTGGTGATCATGTCTGGATATTTTTTATAAGGATGGAAAAATAATAAAAAAAGCAAAAAAGCTGAGTTTTCCATAAGTGGAGTTCTTAAAATAAAGGATTTAAAGCAAACTGGACTCCTAACAACCACTTGCAAGACCTGATAGACACCAAAACTGACCCCATTAGATAAACAGCACTTAAAGCTTTCATCTCTGAGAGAGAGGAGAAAATCAAGCTGCTTCAGATCTGAAAACATCCACAGGTGTTTCTGTCCATCCTTCCACTGTGAGAAGACGACTCAGCGCTATGGGTCTGAAAGGATGTGTAGCTGTCAAGAAGAACCTCACTGAGAAAAGGAGACGGACACATCAAACAAAGAAGCTGCTGGTGTTCTTAGAACAATGAGCCTCATTCACCAACCGTTCTTAAGTTGAAATGCCTTCTTAAAAACCATTCATGCAGTTTTCATGAACATTCTGATCTTCAGAAGTCTTTTCTTATTTGGGGTTTGTTCTTAGGTAAGAACAGAATGAACACACACTCAAGAGCACAAAGGTGTGAACAGTTTTGCAGTTTAAGAACACGTCATGAATCTGATGTGGACTGTTTCTAAAAACGTTTTTCGAGAAAAGATTCATTAAAAAAAATTTTGGAAGATATTAGTGAATGAGTCCCGTTGTTCTTCCATCCTCAGAATCCAGACCTTAACATCACTGTGAGAGCTGTGTAGTTCAGCTGAAAAGCAAATTCTGCAGCCATTCAGCCATTAAAGTTAAAAGCAAGATATATATATATATATATATATATATATATGTATATGTATATATATATTGGTACTCAAGTAGAAATTTAGTCAGAGAACTTCTATTTTATCAAGAGTATTCCGCTTTTTCTCAAAATGGGACTTGTTAAAATATAAATTCCTACATATGGGGGCATATGATGGAGTACTACAGCTTAAGTGTGAGCAAATTAAAAACTTCCTTTGGTGATATATGGTGATCTTCTCTAGATTTCCGAAAAGGTCTATTACTTGGAAATGATGCTTCATAACAGTGTTTTGAATAGACTGAATGTCTGGCACTTTATTATCTGGAATTTACTTCAGCAAACATCTTAAAAATAGTCTTAGTTATTGCCTAGTAAAGGTTAACATTCAAACCAAGTATTAGCTTACTTTATAATATTGTGTTTGATGTTGATTTCTCCCAAAACAGGAGTGAGCACGTTCATTCCTGGAGATCTACCACCCTGCAGAGTTTAGCTCCAAAACATCTTACTCTAATATTCAGATGTTCACCTCTAGATGGTGTTGTTGGTAATGAATGTCTCTGGATTTCTGCTCATTGCTAAGAGGATGTTTACAGCTCTGTCACATCTGGTCAACAGACGGATGAGCTTGAGCAGGTTTTTATACGAGTCTGTAGCCTTTTTGTATCAGTGTGTCTGTCGTGCACAGTAATAAACAGCCGTGTCTTCAGCTTTCAGGCTCTTCACCTGCAGGTACAGCATGTTTTTACTGGTGTCTTTAGTGATGGAGAACTGGCCCTGTAGTGACTGGGCAAAGCTAGTGCCTGTGCCACTATCAATGTAACCGATCCACTCCAGTCCTTTTCCGGGTTTCTGACGGATCCAGCTCATGTACCAGCTACTCATTGAGATACCAGACACAGAACAGGACAGAGTGACTGATTTCCCAGGTTTCTCCACCACTGACTCAGAGGAGGTCAGTGACTGTCCATAAGAATCTGGAAAAAAGAATGTTTATAGTTAATAACATAATGCATGCAATTATATTCTCAGAAGAGAGAATATTCTCAGTAACAGTAACAGAAAATTGAAAAATGTGGAACTTACATGAAATCAATATCATTAATATACAGTAACTCAGAATCATCTTCCTGCTGAAGCTAAACAGACAGTACTGTTGAAGTGTTGTCTGAGATGCTGCTGATAACTGGGACAGCCAAGAACGTGCTGTATATACCAGACTGTATTTGAATAAGGAGTGTCCACAGAGCTGGGCAGGAGTCTCAGATTCAGGCAGTTTCACATACGGATGAGTGAAATTTTATATTTTAGTAATGAAGCATTTTCTCTATTATAACTGTTGTAAAACTTGTTGCTTTTACATTTACAAAAAACTACATTTCTGAAGAAACACTAGACTTTTGTTTCTCCAAACATTTTTTTTAATTTAGGTCTAACTTGTATGTGCAAGATTGTAATGTGTTTCTGCAGCAAGCAAAATGTTTATGACAGTTATGTAGCTCTGCTAATCTGTAGATTACGTTCATGTTAAATAGTAATGCTGTTTAGAAACTCTATAAAAAACCTTTTGAGTCTGCTGAAGAAACTGGTGGGATATGTTGGTCTGGTTAAATTGTTCATGAATACAATGATGCTCAGTATATTAGAAAACTGAGTTTTCTTTAGAGTTTTCAACACATAAACATACAGCTGAAAACCCTTTGATGCACCTGTATGCCTCCATCTTACCATTTTACCGTCTTCCATTTAGATAACAGATCTTATTTGTGGATAGAAGTGGTATCAGTGTTGTGTAGGTTTGTCACACACATCAACCCTGGTTGAGGGAGTTTTCTAATTCAGCCAAAATCGAACCTACATTAGAGTGCAGAAATCAGGGACCACCCTTAACATGTTCATTTTCCAGTTAAAACAACCATTTATAGAACACATTTTTAACAAAAAATACCACAGAAGCCTCAACAACTAAGAATAATCTTAATTTTTTTAGTATCTGTTGTGTCCATCCCTTACTTTATATATAGCTTCCTTTCCTTTCAGGAGATTAGCTTTCTGTGTTGTCCTTTCCTCCATGAATGTACATGAGATGGGAGATAACATGTAATACTTTCTCAAAATAGCACCTAATCTTCTTCTAAATGATCATACTTAGGCCCAAAACGCAGGCCACTTAGTCAAAGGCATATGGAGACATTTTCTTCTATAAGCAACAGAGTGAAATCTGCACATGTTGACAGCATCTATCATGCTACTATCTTGTTATCTAAACTTTTATGCTGCCAAAAGGGTATTTTTAGAGCAGTGCCATGGAAAACCCTCTCTGACATCCCTAAACAACCTTTCATTGGAGGAGATGTGCAAATATGAAGGTCATTAGTTTAATTTAGTTTGAATTGTTCTTCCTGTTTAATATGTAGCATCATTTAGAATAAGCATTAATTGCGCTGCCTGGGCAGGTGAGGAACACCACTAAGGACATTTCTTATCCTAGCCATGGACTTTTTACCCTCCTAACATCTGGCAGATGTTACAGTAGCCTCCACTCCTGCACCAACAGGATCAGGAAAAGCTTCTTCCCCGAGGCTGTGACCATGATGAACTTCTCACCACCACTTTAACTGCCTCTTTGCACTTATTGCACTGTTACTGTACTTTATGTCTAAGTATTCTTGCACTATTCATATTTGCACAGTCAGTTACTGTTTTTACTCTGTATACATTTAACATATGCTGCTCTCACAGTACAGACTACCTACATTTGCACTCTCTCTGCTCACTTTCTCTATATGAATATTATATTTATACTTGCATATCTATGTTTTTTTACCTCTCTACCATCCTTAAATTGTACGTATTGTAACCACAGCATCACTTAACACTTTACTTTCCTGTACTTTATATGTAAATAATACCGTGTTTTGCACTTTTGGTTAGATGCTAACTGCATTACATTGGCTCTGTACCAGTACACTGCACAATGATAATAAAGCTGAATGTGTTCTAATCCAATTATGTAAGTATATTCTCAACCTTATTCAAGGAAACACAAAAGCAATTAGAGAGAAAATAGGATGTCATTAACAAGTTAAGTAATCATTAGTTTATAGTACAATTAGTAGTAAAACCCATTTTTTTTTGGGGGGGGGGGCGAATAACACAACATAATACTTAATTAACAACAATAAATCTGTAGATTGATTAACATAATTAAAAGGACTAACTCATAAATGTTAGTTCTTTACTTGAGTAAACATGAGTGTTATGGGTTTATTAACAGTGTAATAAGAACTAGTTAATACTCTTAAAACCAGTTCAAACCAAGTGTTAGCTTATTTTATAACATTATGTTCGAATGTTGATTTCTCCCAAAGCAGGTTTGTCCAAGTCCATTCCTGAAGATCTACTACCCTGCAGAGTTTAGCTCCAACACACCTGACTCTAATATTCAAATGTTCACATCTAGATGGTGTTGTTGGTAATGAATGTCTCTGGATTTCTGCTCATTGCTAAGAGGATGTTTACAGCTCTGTCACATCTGGCCAACAGAAGATGAGCTTGAGCAGGTTTTTATATGAGTCTGTAGCCTTTTTGTATCAGTGTGACCCCGCTGCACAGTAATAAACAGCCGTGTCTTCAGCTTTCAGGCTCTTCACCTGCAGGTACAGCATGTTTTTACTGGTGTCTTTAGTGATGGAGAACTGGCCCTGTAGTGACTGGGCAAAGTAAGTGCTAGAGCCATAATCAATGTAACCAATCCACTCCAGTCCTTTTCCAGGTTTCTGACGGATCCAGCTCATGTAGTAGCTGCTCACTGAGAAACCAGACACAGAACAGGACAGAGTGACCGATTTCCCAGGTTTCTCCACCACTGACTCAGAGGAGGTCAGAGACTGTCCATAAGAATCTGGAGAAAAAAAATGTTTAGATAGTTAATAACATAATGAATGCAATCATACTCTGTGAAGAGAGAATATTCTCAGTAACAGCAACATAAAGTTGAAAAATGTGGAACTTACATGAAATCAGTATCATTAATATACAATAACTCAGAATCATCTTCCTGCTGAAGCTAAACAGACAGTGTTGTTGAAGTGTTGTCTGAGATGCTGCTGATAACTGGGACAGCCAAGAACGTGCTGTATAAATCAGACTGTATTTGAATAAGGAGTGTCCACAGAGCTGGGCAGGAGTGTCAGATTCAGGCAGTTTCACATATGGATGAGTGAAAGTTTATATTTTAGTAATGGAGCATTACTAACATTGTTCAGTTATGTTTACATTATATTTCAACGATTATAATGTGTTTTTGCAATAAGCAAAATGTTTATGAAAATATGTAGTTCTGCTATTCTGTAGAATTCAGATTAAATAATAATACTGTTTAGAAACTAGACAATAATAGGAGTGTTTGGAATAATTGGCTAATTGTTGCTAATAAATACAGTATTGTGAAAAAAGTAACCTAGTTAACTTCAAGTTAACTGAAATTCTAATAACATCTTTAAAAGAATAATACTTTAACATATTGTTTGATATTCAATAACCAAAACATTTTAATTAACCTGATTATTATTTTTTTTTTATGTTGAAAAGAGACCAGCCTTTATTTATATAATTCATATTAATTTCTGAGGAAATTAGATATAACAATCCACTTATATGAGAAATTAAAAAGTAAAAAAGTGAAAAGAGTTTCCATTATTAGAGTTCACTGGATCACATGTTTAAGTTTATTCCTTTACAGTTTTTGAGAGAATGCTTGTCCAAACACTTCTTGTATGAAAATCTCAATAAACAAAATTCACCTTATTCTTGTTCATCTGTTAAAGTGCATTAATAAATTGCTTTATAAACTTCTAGTAATTATGTCTTCAAACATTTAAAAACAAGTGTTTGATACTCACAATCTGAAATTCCCTATAGAAGCCTCTAGAGGGCAGAATATGCAAAGCAACCAACAGTGAAACACACTCAAAGCACAACAAGCAAAGTTTTAATAATTAACTCAACAGATTCATAACATGTCATGTGAGAAAAATATTCTGCTGAAATGCTTTTAAAAGATTTTATTACATTTTACTTGTGTGATAAAACTGGTGGTGGTGAGTAGATCTGGATATTTTCGTAAATTTACCTGCAGTACAAACAGTACTTTACAAAGGCCACAGATCAAATTTTATTTATTTAATTTACAATGAAAATACAGGTAAGAGTTATTCATTTTTAAGTCATTAATTTCTTGGGAGATTAATATAAGATAATCCACTACAATAAGGATGAAAAAAAAAAAAGTGAAAAATCTGAGTTTTCCATAAGTGGAGTTCATAAAGTAAAGGATTTAAAGCAAACTGGACTCATAACAACCACTTGCAAGACCTGATAGACACCAAAACTGACCCCATCAGATAAACAGCACTTAAAGCTTTCATCTCTGAGAGAGAGGAGAAAATCAAGCTGCTTCAGATCTGAAAACATCCACAGGTGTTTCTGTCCATCCTTCCACTGTGAGAAGACGACTCAGCGCTATGGGTCTGAAATGATGTGTAGCTGTCCAGAAGCTGTTCCTGAGAAAAGAAAATAGGAAATAAAGAACACATACGAACCAACAAGGAAGCTGCTGGTGTTCTCAGAATAATAATCTTACAACCTCAGAACCCAGACCAATCAGTAATTTTGTATTTGTGTACTCAAGTAGAAATCTAGTCAGAGAACGTCTAGTTCTATATTTTACTATTACAGAGCATTTCTGCTTTTACCCAACATGAGATTTTGGTATGGGAAGATATAAATTCATACATGTGGGGAAATATGTTTGAAAATGAGTATTTAAGCACATAAGTGAGTAAGAAAGCTTCTGTTGAACTCATATATAATGATCTTTACTAGATTTGTGGCAAGTTCTATTACTTATAAACAATGTTTAATTAAAGTGTTGTAAATAGAACAAATGTCTGGCACTTGAGTTTATGTTCATACTATCTCATTTACTTCATCAAACACCTAAAGCCATAGTCTTAGTTATTGCTAAATAAAAGTTGGCATTCAAATAACATTTTACTTTATAAAATTGCGTGAATGCACAGTAATAAACAGCCGTGTCTTCAGCTTTCAGGCTCTTCACTTGCAGGTACAGCATGTTTTTACTGGTGTCTTTAGTGATGGAGAACTGGCCCTGTAGTGACTGGGCAAATCTAGTGCCCGTGCCATAATCAATGCGGCCAATCCACTCCAGTCCTTTCCCAGGTTTCTGACGGACCCAGTGCATGTAGTAGTCGTTCACTGAGAAACCAGACACAGAACAGGACAGAGTGACCGATTTCCCAGGTTTCTCCACCACTGATTCAGAGGAGGTCAGAGACTGTCCATACGTATCTGGAGAAAAGAATGTTTAGATAGTTAATAACATAATGTATGCAATCATACTCTGTGAAGAGAGAATATTCTCAGTAACAGCAATATAAAGTTGAAAAATGTGGAACTTACATGAAATCAGTATCATTAATATACCGTAACTCAGAATCATCTTCCTGCTGAAGCTAAACAGACAGTACTGTGGAAGTATTGTCTGAGATGCTGCTGATAACTGGCACAGCCAAGAACGTGCTGCATATACCAGACTGTATTTGAATGAGGAGTGTCCACAGAGCTGGACAGGAGTCTCAGGTTGAAGCTGTTTCACATACGGATGAATAAAAGTTTACATTTTAGTAATGGAGCATTTTCTGTATTATAACTGTCATGAAATTTGCTATTTCTACATTTAAAAAACTACATTCCTGAAAAAATGTTTCCCTAAACATTGTTTAATATAGGTCTAAATTATATTTCCAAGATTGTAATGTGTTTTTGCAGTAAGCAAAATGCTTATGACAATATGTAGCTCTGCTTTTCTGTAGAATTCAGATTAAATAATAATGCTGTTTAGAAACCAGACAATAACAGTAGATGTCAGAATTATTGGCTAATTGTCCATAATAAATACAGTTTTGTGAAAAAGCCACACAGGAGATTGGGTATGACAGTCCACTTGTATAAGGAATGAAAAAGTTTAAAAAAAGTGAAAAAGCAAGACTTTCCATTAATAGAGTTCACAAAATTACAGTCATTTTACATATTTTTATATACACAATGTCTATTAGGGTAAATGGCTGTAGAATGAGCTGTTTATGTCTGCATCAACACACTGTTCAATAACACAAATTGTACTTTGTGCTATAACTAAAAGAGAAATTTCCAGAACTCATATATGGGGTTATTAACTTGATTTCTGCCTTATACGTTTCATTACTTGTGAATGATGCTTCATAACAGTCTTCCAATTGGAATTGATGCCACTTTACTTTAAGGCACATTATGTTAATGTATTGTCATTTGCTTTAGAAAACAACTTACATCATCTTGCAATTACTGTCATAAGCTGTTTATACAGATTGAGGTATTGTTTTATAAATCAGTTGTTTTAATGCCTTGGCATGTGTTATAACATCACTATGTACACTGTTAGAAATAAAGTTTTAGTGCAGGTACACTTTTCATTCATCAGGGTATAAACAATGTAAATGTTCCCTCAAAAGTACAACAGTCGTTTTAAGGTCCAGTTGTGCACCTTAAATAAGTTTTTCCAGGTGAAAAGTTCGTATTTGTACCTTTTCATAACCGAATGTTTTAAAACAGAACAGTAAAATAAAAAGCCTGGAGACGAGACGGGGTGTGTGGAGTCAGTACAGCTTAGACAATATGATTTCAATGGATTATGGTAACAGTTATTTTCTCTGACTAAAGGTACTGAGAGGTACCCTTGGGGGGACCACCCCAGTGACAGTTTAGTACCTTTTTCTGAGAGTGTAGGTGGCCTTAAAATAAAGCCTTCAAGTGAAATGTGAATAGTCCTTTAGTCAATAGACTGAATCACATGCTAAAGTTTATTCCTGTGAGATTTTTGGGAGAAAATGCTTGTTAAGCTCTTTTCTGTGTCCATATACATTTGGATGAAAGGCTCAATAAACACTGCTAATCTTTATTGTTTATTGCTCAGGGAGCCACACTTAGTGTTGTGCTTTGAGTGCCACCTTCATCCTGATCATCTGTTAATTTGCATTCATAAATTTTATTCTACATTTTTAGTAATTATTTCTTCAATTTTTGCAAACAAGTGTTTGGATACTCATAATCTGAATTTCCCCAAAGAAGCCTCTAGAGGGCAGACTATGCAAAGTAACCAACACTCAGACTCAAAGCTCAACAAGCAAAATTTTAATACTTTACTCAACAGATGCAGAAACTGCAATTTGAGAAAAATATTTGCTGAAATGCTTTTAAAAGATTTTTACTTGCATGATGAAAATAGTGGTGGTGATTAGATCTGGACATTTTTGTATATTTTCCTGCAGTACAAACAGTACTTTACAAAGGCCACAGACCGAACTTTATTAAATTTTCAGTCAAAATACTTACAAGTAAGAGTTATTCATTTTTAAGTCATTCATTTCTGGAGAGATTAGATATAAGATAATCCACTTCAATTCAGATGGAAAAAAATAATAATAAAAAAAGTGAACAATCAGAGTCTTCCATAAGTGGAGTTCATAAAATAAAGGCTTTAAAGCAAACTGGACTCAACCACTCAATAACAATTACTTGCAAGACATGGTAGACACCAAAACTGACCCCTATCAGATAAACAGCAATTAAAGTTTTCATCTTTGAGAGAGAGGAGAAAATCAAGCTGCTTCAGATCTGAAAACATCCACAGGTGTTTCTGTCCATCCTTCCACTGTGAGAAGACGACTCAGCGCTATGGCTCTGAAAGGATGTCTAGCTGTTAAGAAGCCTTTACTGGAAAAATCAAATAGACACAAAAGAACATTTACAAATCAACAAGGAAGCTGCTGGTGTTCTCAGAACAATGGGCCTCATTCACCAACCGTTCATAAGAAGAAATTTCTTAAAACTCACTGCGCAGTTTTCATGATTCTGATATTCAGCAGTGCTTTTTTATTTGGGATTTATTCTTAAGTTAGAACAGAATCTACACACATTCAATAGCACAAATGATGCTTCATAAAAGTGTTGTGAATGGACTGAATGTCTGGCACTTTATTATCTGGCATTTACTTCAGCAAACATCTTAAGAAAAAGTCTTAATTATTGCCTAATAGAAGAAAGCATTCAAATCAGATGTTACCTTATTTTATAACATTGTGTTTGATGTTGATATCTTCCAAAACAGGAGTGACCAAGTCTATTCCTGGAGATCTACCACCCTGCAGAGTTTAGCTACAAAACATCTTACTCTAATATTCCGATGTTCACCTCTAGATGGTGTTGTTGATAATGAATGTTTCTTGATTTCTGCTCATTGCTAAGAGGATGTTTACAGCTCTGTCACATCTGGTCAACAGAAGATGAGCTTGAGCAGTCTGTGGCCTTTTTGTGTCAGTGTGTCTGTCGTGCACAGCAATAAACAGCCGTGTCTTCAGCTTTCAGGCTCTTCACCTGCAGGTACAGCATGTTTTTACTGGTGTCTTTAGTGATGGAGAACTGGCCCTGTAGTGACTGGGCAAAGTCAGTGCTAGTGCCACTATCAATGAAACCGATCCACTCCAGTCCTTGTCCAGGTTTCTGACGGATCCAGTACATGTAGTAGTCACTCATTGAGAAACCAGAGACAGAACAGGACAGAGTGACCGATTTCCCAGGTTTCTCCACCACTGGCTCAGAGGAGGTCAGAGACTGACCATAAGAATCTGGAAAAAGAAGATAATATACATAAATAATGAATGACATAATTATTTAAGAATTACTAACTAGATGTTCTCATGCTCTCAGTAGAGAGAGAATACTGCCACAAATGACATTTTCAGTCTGAAAAAATGTGGAACTTACATGAAATTAGTATCATTAATATAAAATAACTCAGATTCATCTTCCTGCTGAAGCTCTAAACCATTAAATGAAAGTGTTGTTGAAATGTTGACTGAGATGTTGCTGATAAACTGGGACAGCAAAGAACATGCAGTATATACCAGAGTTTATTTGAATAGGGAGGGTCCACAACTTTTTAGCAAAAAAAAAAAAAAAGCATTTTCTGCATCATAACACTGTCATGGTAAAGACTCTAATATAATGATGATAATCTTTGTACTTTGAGTGTTTGTGGTTACTTTTGCATAGTCTGCCCTCTTCAGGAATTAATAGGTATATTCAGATTTTGTGCTCATAGTAGACACTAAAAAGCATTCATAAGTTATAATTGAGTCTGAAATGTCAATCACAATCCCCAAGATCAGTCTCTAAATTCAACGGAATATACATGTACATAAACTGCATCAAACAGTCTGCATCCATTTGGGAATCCCACAGAATGGACTGCTGTGGGAACACCAATAGAATTTCTCTCAGAAGTTTACAGAGGTGGTTTTACCAACCAGCTTAGCAAAGATAAAGTTCAAAACAGAACCCAGGTCCATTCCTGGAGATCTACCACCCTGCAGAGTTTAGCTACGACTCTCTCTCTCTCTCTCTCTCTCTCTCTCTCTCTCTCTCTCTCTCTCTCAAGAACAGAGCATAGAGAGCTTCATGGAATGGGTTTCCATGGCTGAGCAGCTGCATCCAAGCCTTGCATCACCAAGCACTATGCAAAGCGTTGAATGCAGTGGTGTAAAGCGCCGCCACTGGACTCTAGAGCAGTGGAGACGTGTTCTCTGGAGTGACAAATCACGCTTCTCATGCTTCTGACTGCATTGTGCCAAGTGTAAAGTCTGGTGGAGGGGGGGGTCATGGTGTGGGGTTGTTTTCCAGGAGTTGGGCTCGGCCCCTTAGTTCCAGTGAAAAGGAACTCTTAATGCTTCAGCAGACCAAGAGATTTTGGACAATTTCATGCTCCCAACTTTGTGGGAACAGTTTGGGGACGGCCCCTTCCTGCTCCAACATGACTGCACACCAGTGCACAAAGCAAAGTCCATAAAGACATGGATGAGCGAGTTTGGTGTGGAAGAACTTGACTGGCCTGCACAGAGTCCTGACCTCAACCCAATAGAACACCTTTGGGATGAATTAGAGCGGAGACTGCGAGACAGGTCTTCTCGTCCAACATCAGTGTCTGATCTCACAAATGTGCTTCCGGAGGAATGGTCAAAAACTCCCATAAACACTCCTAATCCTTGTGGAAAGCCTTCCCAGAAGAGTTGAAGCTGTTAGTGACGCATTTTTCTGTATTATAGCTCAGACATGGTCATGCTTTATTTACTCCTTCTACATCTACAAAAATAAAAAGTAAAAACAAGACTTCTTCATATGGTAACAAACCAATGAACTAGCTTATTGAACTACAGTTGGTGGGGAGAGGAACTAAGAGGAAGTTCACTGAAAAGAACTGAAGTTGTAATAAAAGCAAACATTGAAAATGTGTAATTATATTTACTTGCTGAGGCTTCTGTGTCATTTTCAGTCATGCTATTTTGATGGTCCTCTGATCTTCATTCTGTCTTTAATTAACATTCAACTGAATATGTATGTAAAATGCAACTAAATTCAAATTATGTGAGACAAATTCTAATAACCTTAAACCTACTCCTGAACCTAACTTTATCCATAACCTCAACCCGAAACCAAAACCTACTCCTAAACCCAACCCTAACCTAATGGTTTTGATAGTTAACTTTCACCAGAAAGTTTGTTTAACAAATCTGTAAATCCTAGAAGACACCAAAGAAAATGTTGACAACATTTCTGTCAAATATATGTTTTCTGTTTCTTTTGCTGATGCTGGAAAATCAATAAAAATATAAAAAAAGGTGTAATTAATGGCTTTTAATGTTTTTTTCTGTCAAAATTGATGGCTTTTAATGGTTCTTGGCTGGCACTGGGTGTCATTTTCTGTGTTTATTTTTGTGTTATTTTCATGTTAATTTTGTAGTTAGTTTTTGCTGTTATAGTTATAGTTTTAAATTCAATAGTGCTTATACTTGGACTTGTCTTGTGTCTTGTAATCTTGGCTGACTTGAATTTGATGAAGAGATATCATTGGCACTACAGTGCTGTTTCATGGAAAAAAAAATCTTGACTCTGTTGCAATTTTCTGTTAATTTCTTATATTAAAAACAAATAAAACAGGAATGAAGCTTACATTTCATTTGTTGTTGGTAATGAATGTCTCTGGATTTCTGCTCATTGCTAAGAGGATGTTTACAGCTCTGTCACATCTGGCCAACAGAAGATGAGCTTGAGCAGGTTTTTATATGAGTCTGTAGCCTTTTTGTGTCAGTGTGAGTCTCTCGCACAGTAATAAACAGCCGTGTCTTCAGCTTTCAGGCTCTTCACCTGCAGGTACAGCATGTTTTTACTGGTGTCTTTAGTGATGGAGAACTGGCCCTGTAGTGACTGGGCAAAGTAAGTGCTAGTGCCAGTATCAACGAAACCGATCCACTCCAGTCCTTGTCCGGGTTTCTGACGAACCCAGTGCATCCAGTAGCTGCCCATCGAGAAACCAGACACAGAACAGGACAGAGTGACCGATTTCCCAGGTTTCTCCACCACTGACTCAGAGGAGGTCAGTGACTGTCCACAAGTATCTGAAGAAAAAAACGTTTTGATAATTAATAAGACAAAACATATTCTTATGAGCTCAGATGAGAGAATATTCTCAGTAACAGTAGCAGCAACAGTCACAATCTGAAACATGTAGAACTTACATGAAATTAGTATCATTAATATACAATATCTTAGATTCATCTTCCTGCTGAAGCTCCTAGCCTTTAACTGAGAATGTTGTGGAAGTGTTGTCTGAGATGTTACTGATAACTGGAACAAGAACGTGATGTATATACCAGACTGTATTTGAATAGGGAGTGTCCACAGAGCTGGTAATTAGTCTCAACTTTGGGCAGTTTCACATGAATGAGTGAACATTTACCTTTTAGTAATGAAGCATTTTCTCTATTATAACTGTCATGTGAAATTTGCTTCTTCTATGTTTACAAAACTAGATTTCTGAAAAAACAAAACATCAAAAAACTAGACTTCTGTTTCTCCAAATATTATTTAATTTGGGTCTAACTTATATTTGCAAGATTGTAATGTGTTTTTACAGTAAGCAAAATGTTCATGCGCAGTGTGTAGCTTTGCTATTCTATAGAATTCAGATTTAAATAGCAATGCTGTTTAAAACTCTGTAAACTAACAGGAGACTCCAGAATCAGTTTCTTATAAATATTAAATAAAAAATCTTATATGAATAACAAAATTCATATCTATTGTTTTTTGCTCATTGAGTCACACTCAGTGTTGTGTTTTGAGCTCCATCTTCATCTTGTTCATCTGCTGAAGTGCATTAATACATTTGTCTACAAACTTCTAGTAATTATTTCTCCAGACTTTTGCATTAAACTGTATCTTGGGACACAGATAATCTGAATTTCTCAACTGAAGCCTCTAGAGGGCAGACTGTGCAAAGGAACCAACACTCAGACACACTCAAAGCACAACAAGCAAAATGAACTCTTCACTCAGCAGATACACTTGTTAAAGAGAAATCATTAGTATTTGTGTCTGAAGAAAGAAATAAATTCAATGTTAATATGTAAATTGAGAAATTGAAATTGAAAATTGAGAAAATATATTTTGATGAAGGGCTTAAAAACATTTAAGTACATTTTACATGCATGATAAAACCGTGGAAAAGGTGGTGGTTAGAGACTTTCATAAATTTACCAGCACTACATACAATGATTTTGAAAACTCTGAGACCACCTTTCATTTTTTTCACTATCCAGACAAAACAGTAAAAAATAAAAAAAATCAGAGAAAAATAAAAGATTCAGAGAAAACTGAACTCCTAACAATCACCTGGGAAGAGCTGGTAGACACCAAAACTGACCCCATCAGATAAACAGCACTTAAAACTTCCATCTTTGAGAGAGAGGAGAAAATCAAGTTGCTTCAGATCTGAAAACATCCACAGGTGTTTCTGTCCATCCTTCCACTGTGAGAAGACGACTCAGCGCTATGGGTCTGAAAGGATGTGTAGCTGTAAAAAAGCCTCACTGAGAAAAGGAGACAGTCAAAAAAAAAAAATCATTTACAAATCCAACCAGCAGAAGCTGCTGATGTTCTCAGAACAATGTTCTTCTAACCTCAGAATCCAGACCTTAACATCATGCCGAGTGCTGTGTATTTGAGCTGAGAAGCAAATTATGCAGCTATTCTCCTTCATAGAAGGTTCATCAAAAATGATGAAACTAATTACTCTCAGCACATTTACTTTTGACAGTCAAGCACAGTCAAAAGAAAGTTTTGTAGTAGAAATTTAGTCAGAGAACATCTAGTTTTACTCAAATGATGTTTTACAAAGTATTTCCACTTTTACTCAAGACGAGATTTTGGTGCTGAAAATTATCAGCATAAATAGAGATCTTAACTTAATTTCTGCTTGGTAAGTTCTATTACTTGAAAATGATGCTTCATAGCAGTGTTATAAATTGATCTAATGGCCAGCACTTTAGTTTTGTCCATACTGTGCCATTTACTTCATCTAATGTCTTAAGTAATCTGGTATTGCTGGCCTAAGCTGTTTATGAAAATGTAGTTATTGCTTCATAAAAGTTATAAAGAAATAAAGTTTCACCATATTTGATAACACTTCATGCAATGTTGATATCCAAAGCAGGTGTGTCCAAGTTCATTCCTGGAGATCTACCACCCTGTAGAGTTTAGCTCCAAAATATCTTAATCTAAAATTCAGTTGTTCACCTCAAGATGGTGTTGTTGGTAATGAAATTCTCTGGATTTCTGCTCATTGCTAAGAGGATGTTTACAGCTCTGTCACATCTGGCCAACAGACGAGGAACTTGAGCAGGTTTTTGTATGAGTCTGTAGCCTGTTTGTGTCTTTGGCTTTCAGGCTCTTCACCTGCAGGTACAGCATGTTTTTACTGGTGTCTTTAGTGATGGAGAACTGGCCCTGTAGTGACTGGGCAAAGCTAGTGCTAGTGCCACTATCAATGTATCCAATCCACTCCAGTCCTTTTCCAGGTTTCTGACGGATCCAGTGAAACCAGCTGCCCATTGAGATACCAGACACAGAACAGGACAGAGTAACCGATTTCCCAGGTTTCTCCACCACTGACTCAGAGGAGGTCAGAGACTGTCCATAAGTATCTGGTGAAAAGAATGTTTAAATAATAAATAACATAACTATATAAGAATTACTAAACACATGTTCTCTCACTCTCAGCAGAGAGATTACAGTTTCAGTCTTAAATAAACATGGAACTTACATGAAATTATTATCATTAATATAAAATAACTCAGATTCATCTTCTTGCTGAAGCTCTGAGCCATTAAATGAAAGTGTTGTGGAAATGTTGTCTGAGACGTTGCTGATAACTGGGACAGTAAAGAACATGCAGTATATACCAGATTGTATTTGAATAGGGAGGGTCCACAACTTCAGAACGTAGTCTTAGCTTCATGTAGTTTAACATACGGATGAGTAAATATTTCAAATGTAGTAAAAAAGTACTATTTTCTGTGTCATAACACTGTCTTGTTAGTTTTGAATAAAATCAAGGCTTCTTTTTCTCAACATATTTTTAATTCAGGTATAAATCATATTTCCAGCATTGTAAAAGTTAATTTAAGTGTATGTTCAGAAAGATTGATTGATTGATTGATTAGGCTGAAATAAAAATGAGACATAAGTTAAAGTGTGAGAGAGTAGGAATTAAAGTATTTCTATTTGCATATTTACACAGCATATAAGACCGAATTGTTGTATTTAGGTATTCAGGTATTGCAATAAATGGTATGAAGTAGTTACAACACAATGAGTATAAACAGAACTAAGAATAGCAGCAGTGTTTAGAGTCTAAAGTGGGCAGTGAGAGTGTAATTGAAATGAAGCCTATGCTACTGTAACTAAAATGGTCAAACGAGAGTGATTTGGTTTTTCTTCTTCTAAATCAGTAGCGCAGCATAATCTTTCCACCAGTACAATATACAAGTTAAACTTGAAAGTGAAGGGGAAGTGGGGAAGTTCCAAGACAGAATTTTATGATGTAAACGAGTAACTTTGTGGAGATTTTAGTGGTCATTGAGTATGCAGTACATTACAGAAGGATTCTTTGACAGCCAAGATTTTCAGAAGCATCAAACATTGAATTGGGCCATTTGCATACACTATACAGATTACTGATAACTGGGACAGACTGTATTTGAATGAGGAGTGCCCACAGAGCTGGGCAGTAGTCTCAGTTTTGGGCAGATTTGCATATGGATGAGTGAACATTTCCATTTTAATAATGAAGCATTTTCTGTATTATAGCCGCATGAAATTTGCTCCTTCTACATTTACAAAAACTACATTTCTAAAAAAAATAGCCTCGAATTTTTAAAAATACAGTTTAATTTAAGTGTAAATTATATTTCTAAGATTGTAATATGTAGCTCTGCTATTCTGTATAGATTAAATAATAATGCTATTTAGACAATCTATAAACTCACAGAACTCTCTGTAATTATTAGCAGTTCCTGATAAATATGGTCACACAGTGAATATGCAACTTAAAAACTACCTACAAAACTTCTAATAAAATGTTAAGAGAAGAAAAATTCGTGTTTGATATTTTTTAACATTTAATTTGAAGTTCAGTTAACACAACATTTGAAGTTAAGCAGGTTATTTACTTTTATGAAGTTCAAAATTGAGGTGATTAGATATAAAATACTCCACTTATAAGGAATAAGAAAGTAAAATGAAATGAAAAGCAGAGGTTTTCATTACTAGAGTTTACAAAATTATGGTCAATTTATTATTTTTTTGGTGAACTATGTGTATTAAGGGTAATGGCTGCAGAATTAGCTCTTTAACTCAAAAACACTTCACTCTAATATTTAGATGTCCACATTTAGATGATGTTGTTGGTAATGAATGTCTCTGGATTTCTGCTCATTGCTAAGAGGATGTTTACAGCTCTGTCACATCTGGCCAACAGAAGATGAGCTTGAGCAGGTTTTTATACGAGTCTGTAGCCTTTTTGTATCAGTGTGACCCCGCTGCACAGTAATAAACAGCCGTGTCTTCAGCTTTCAGGCTCTTCACCTGCAGGTACAGCATGTTTTTACTGGTGTCTTTAGTGATGGAGAACTGGCCCTGTAGTGACTGGGAAAAGCCAGTGCTAGTGCCCCTATCAATGTAACCGATCCACTCCAGTCCTTTTCCAGGTTTCTGACGAATCCAGTGCATCCAGTAGTAACTCATTGAGATACCAGACACAGAACAGGACAGAGTGACCGATTTCCCAGATTTCTCCACCACTGACTCAGAGGAGGTCAATGACTGTCCATAAGAATCTGGAGAAAAGAAGATAGTTAATAACATAATGAATGCAATCATACTCTGTGAAGAGAGAATATTCTCAGTAACAGTAACAGAAAATTGAAAAATGTGGAACTTACATGAAACCAGTACCATTAATATACAATAACTTAGATTCATCTTCCTGCTGATGCTAAACAGACAGTCTGTTGAAGTATTGTCTGAGATGTTGCTGATAACTGGGACAGCCAAGAACGTGCCGTATAAACCAGACTGTATTTGAATAAGGAGTGTCTACAGAGCTGGGCAGGAGTCTCAGCTTTGAGCAGATTCACATATGTGAACATTTCCATTTTAATAATGAAATATTTTCTGTATTATAGCCGTCTTCTGAAATTTGCTCCTCCATCATTTACAAAAATAGTTTAAATCTAAATATTCAATATTAATATTTCCAAGATTGTGATGTGTGTTTAAATTAAGCAAAATGTTCATGAGTAGTATGTAGCTCTGCTGTTCTGTAGAAATTAGATTAAATAATCAAGCTATTTAAACTGTATAAATGACAGGGGAATCCAAAATTATTAGTAGTTTCTAATAAATACAGTCACACAGAAAAACTGCAACTTAAAAATAATTTAGCCTACTATTAACCTAACTTCTAATAAAATGTTAAGAGAAGGAAAAATTGTGTTTTCTATTTTTTAACTCAAATTACTTAATTCTTATTAAATTAATTAATTCTTTAATTCAATTTTATATTCAATTAATTCAAGATTTTAAGTTAAGCAGGTTATTTACTTTTTTAAGTTCAAAATTGAGGGGATTAGATAAAATATCCACTTAGAAGGAATAAGAAAGTAAAAATGAAGTGAAAAGCAGAAGTGAACTATATGTATTAAGGACAATAGCTGCAGAATGAGCTGTTTATGTCTGAATCTACACATTGCTCCATAATAGAAACTGTGCATTTGGACTTTAACTCCAGTAGAAATATACAGAACTGTTTTATGGTGTTGTTAACTCGATTTCTGCCTATCAAATTTCATTACTTGTGAATGATGCTTCATAACAGTGTTACACATGGATTAAATGTCATTCTACTTTAAGGGTCCTTAGTTCAATATAATGCCATTCTCTTCATAAAACATCATATATGATAAAATATGATGAGAGATGATACATCATCTATTAATTATTTCTTCAAACCTTTGCGTTCACCTGTATATTGGGACATTCATAATCTGAATTTCCCTAAAGAAGCCTCTGGAGGGCAGACTATGCAAAGTAACCAACAGTCAGACTCAATACTTAACAAGCAAAATTTTAATGCTTTACTCAGCAGATGCATAAAATGCAATTTGAGAAAAATATTTGCTGCAAGACTTTTACAAGATTTTATTACATTTTACTTGCATGATAAAAATAGTGGTGGTGATTATGTCTGGATATTTTATACAAGGATGGAAAAATAATAAAAAAGCAAAAAAGCAGAGTTTTCCATAAGTGGAGTTCTTAAAATAAAGGATTTAAAGCAAACTGGACTCATAACAACCACTTTCAAGACCTGGTAGGCACCAAAACTGCCCCCTATCAGATAAACAGCACTTAAAGCTTTGATATTTGAGAGAGAGGAGAAAATCAAGCTGCTTCAGATCTGAAAACATCCACAGGTGTTTCTGTCCATCCTTCCACTGTGAGAAGACGACTCAGCGCTATGGCTCTGAAAGGATGTGTAGCTGTCAAGAAGAACCTCACTGAGAAAAGGAGACGGACACATCAAACAAAGAAGCTGCTGGTGTTCTTAGAACAATGAGCCTCATTCACCAACCGTTCTTAAGTTGAAATGCCTTCTTAAAAACCATTCATGCAGTTTTCATGAACATTCTGATCTCCAGAAGTCTTTTCTTATTTGGGGTTTGTTCTTAGGTAAGAACAGAATGGACACACACTCAAGAGCACAAAGGTGTGAACAGTTTTGCAGTTTAAGAACACGTCATGAATCCGATGTGGACTGTTTCTAAAAACCTTTTTCGAGAAAAGATTCAGGAAAACATTTTGGAAGCTATACGGAGGCTATACGAGTCTGTAGCCTTTTTGTGTCAGTGTGAGTCTCGTGCACAGTAATAAACAGCCGTGTCTTCAGCTTTCAGGCTCTTCACCTGCAGGTACAGCATGTTTTTACTGGTGTCTTTAGTGATGGAGAACTGGCCCTGTAGTGACTGGGCAAAGTGAGTGCTAGTGCCAGTATCAATTTGACCAATCCACTCCAGTCCTTTCCCGGGTTTCTGACGGATCCAGCTCATGTAGTAGCTGCCCATTGAGAAACCAGACACAGAACAGGACAGAGTGACCGATTTCCCAGGTTTCTCCACCACTGACTCAGACGAGGTCAGAGACTGACCATAAGTATCTGGTGAAAAGAATGTTTAGATAGTTAATATAATGCACACACTCAAACTCTCAGAGGAGTGACTGTCCATATGTATCTAGGAAGATATTTAATAAAGTAATTGATTATTTATTATTAACTGTATGCTGTCATACTCTCAGAAGAAACAATATTCTTAAAGATAACATAAACAGTCTGAAAGTGTGGAACTTACATGGAATCAGTATCATTAATACACAATAACTTAGGTTCATCTTCCTGCTGAAGCTCTTAGCCATAAACTGAGAGTGCTGTTGAAGTGTTGTCTAAGATGTTGCTGATAACTGGGAAGCCAAGAATGTGCCATATATACCAGACTGTATTTGAATAAGGAGTGTTCACAACTTTTTGGTCTCAGCTTCAGAAAGATACACATGTAGGTGAGGAAATATTTCAATAATGAAGCATTTTCTGAATTGTTAATCAAACATAGTGATATTTGCTCCTATGTTTACAAAAACAAAATTTCTGAGTAAAAATCAAGAATTGCTTCTGTCCATATGTCATTTACATGAGGTCTGCACTATATTTCCAAGATGGTGTATTTGCAGGAAGCATAATGTTCATGATCAGTATGTAACTCTCTGGTTTGTAGAGTTTAGATTAAATAGTAATGCTATTATTTAAGTTCCATTAAAAATAGTCAATATTTACAAGTTATTAATTGTTCCAGGAGACAGTTCAGAGGATAATAGATAGTACATGATCTACTTGCAAAAAGAAGGAGAAAGCCAAAAGAAAATAAGTGAAAAAGAGGAGTTTTCAACATTAGAGTTTTATTAAAACAGACAGAGAAAGACTTGATAGACCACCAAAAATTCATCATCAGATGAACAGCACTCTTTCCTCAGATCTGAACAAATCCATGTGTTTCTGTCCATCTTTCCGCTGTGAGAAGACAACTCAGTGCTAAGAGTATGGATTTTTTTTTTTTGCCTTCTGTGTCATTTTTTGTTAAATATTTGCTTGAGACTTTTTTCCTGATGCTGAAAAATGAATAACTTTTACTTAATGTTTTGCCTGGAAATCCAATAAGCGAAGGATGGCCTTTCAGTTTCGTAACCACTGTAAAAACCAAAAAAAATAAATAAATAAATAAAAAATAAACATGACCAATTATACACAGTGTACACCTGTGGTAAATAAATAAGCCTGTCTAAATCCCCAAGGTCAGTCCATACATTCTTATTCAAACTGAGTCAGTTAATCTATGGCTGTTTTGAGAAGAGCACATCTCAGAACCTTGTGTACTGAAATACTGGGTAGAAATGATCTAAAGTTTACAAAACATACAACATATTAGATACATATAGATTAATGATTCATACATGCATTAAACAGATGTTTATTTTGCCCAAACATTATTCACAGGATAATGAGGTATTTCCAGTAACACTGTATTTGAAAGCTGTCTGAGGACTTCATAACACAAGCATGAGCATTGAATAGTGTGTTGCTAATGTAATACTTTAATATTAATGAACAGCTCATGTTAGCTACTGAAAGATGAGCTTAGATGTTATAAGCAGAAAAGACACTGTATTGACATAAACAGTCTTAAAGTGTTTCAATTTCCACTGTGATCCTCAAATATTGTTTCCATTGTATCACTTTAATGAAGTTTCATTGTCAAGTAATGGTCATTTGAAAGATTTCTCCGCCTTCGAACTTCAGTGGTAATTTTCATAATATTTTCCCACATAAATATGTATGTAAATATTCCAATATCCTTAGCAAAATATCTGAAAAATGTTGAAATGTACTTTTGTATCAAATGTTAAAGAACTTTCAGGTATTTTTGTTGAATGTCTCTGGGGTTCTGCTCATTGCTAATGGAATGTTTACAGCTTTTGTACATCTGGCCAACAGAAGAGGAGTTTGAGCAGGTTTTTATACGAGTCTGTAGCCTTTTTGTGTCAGTGTGAGTCTCGTGCACAGTAATAAACAGCCGTGTCTTCAGCTTTCAGGCTCTTCACCTGCAGGTACAGCATGTTTTTACTGGTGTCTTTAGTGATGGAGAACTGGCCCTGTAGTGACTGGGCAAAGCTAGTGCCCGTGCCACTACCAATGTAACCGATCCACTCCAGTCCTTGTCCAGGTTTCTGACGAATCCAGTGCAAATAGCTAAGAGTAAGCCCAGACACAGAACAGGACAGAGTGACCGATTTCCCAGGTTTCTCCACCACTGATTCAGAGGAGGTCAGTGACTGTCCATTAGTATCTGAAAAAAAAGGTAGTTTGATAATTAATAACATAGTTATTAATTGCATTCTAATACACTCCCAGAAGAGAGAACATTCTCAGAGATAACAGTAACAGTCTTTAAAATGTGCAACTTACATGAAATCAGTATCATCAATATACAATAACTCAGATTCATCTTCCTGCTGAAGATCTGAACCATAAATGAACAGTGATGTGGAAGTGTTGTCTGAGAAATTACTGGTAACTGGGAAGCCAAGAACATGCTTAATATACCAGACTGTGTTTGAATAAGGCGTGTCCACAACATGGAGCAGATTAAAATCTTCAGGCAGTTTAACACACGGATAAGTATATATAATATTTATTATATATACTTATATATAAGTATATATAATATTTTCATTTTAATTTCATTTTAAGTAATGAAGCATTTTTTTCTATATTATAACTCAGACATTATCATGTGACATTTATTCTTTCTATATTTACAAAAAAGAAAAAAAATAGTAAAACAAGACTTCACTCCATCACTGTTAAAATGGTCAATTAATTCAACTTAAAAATAATTGACTTCATGTGGTAACAAGCCAATCATCTAATTTTAATGACTTACAATATTGTGGAAAAAATATCCCTGCAGATTTATTTCAAAAACTGAGAGCAAATCCAGAGAAATGAATTGAAGCTATAATTAGGCAACGGGTGAAAATGTATCATTTAATTATTACATAAATGTTAAAATGTCTGTTAAATAAACATTTTCTTCTTATTTTGCTGAAGCTGAAAAATGACTAATTCATGACAAATAGCTGTTTTTTTTTAACTACCACTAAAATCTTTTAATTGAGCTCACTTTTTATCACAAAGTGTAGTTTTGCAGTGCTGTACTTCTTAAGCCTGGACTTATGTGTGTTGTGTTGGATGTGACAGCATTTGTGCGCAGACCTGTCTTTGTCTTGGCCGTCAGTCTCTGATACCAGCAACCATTTTTAAAAATATATATATATATTTGCTGAATTTTTTTGTTTTTTGTTTTTTTGAAGCCATATTCTAAACTTACAATCCAATCAATTACTTACAGTATTTGAAAATGAAAGTAATAACTCTAGAATTCTAGGCATTAATTCTGTTGTTACAAGTGACTTGTTGTTTTGGGGGTCTTTTTTTTGGCTCAGCCTCACCCTCACTTGAACCTGGACTTAACTTGGTCTGTAGTAGAGACCGCCTTGGTCGAATCCAAGACTATTGGTGCATTCCAATTGGGAGGCAACTGTCTAAGTAGGCAGGATTTTAAGGTGCTCCCGAGATGAAGGCTGCCCCATTCGGGAGGCAGCATAAAGTAGCTGCCTGCTAAGGTGCTTTATTTTGACCACCAGTTTTCTTTATTTCTGTCCTCAGAGACTTATGTTACAGAGGCAGAGAGGTACTGGCTGAGGGGCTGAGGAACAGGAGCTGTTTCAGGGAGAAAACTGTACTGAAGACTGAAAGGAGCTCACTTTTTAGCATATACAGGGGAAAACACTACGGAACCCGTGCAACTGATGTTCTCCCTGAACGATGAAAACGACTTTAACTTACAGGACGATGTAGAAGTTCAGAAATAAAATGTTTTTAAAAATAAATACCACAAATGCTTATTTTTGCCTGCTCTGCTTGTTTTGTATTGCAGATGAGAATACACAAAATAAAAAAGCATGTCAGATTAATAGATTGTGTGCAATACTTTTTTTTTAGTAATACTTTATTTGTAGATGATTAATAAGCTCTTAATAGATTGTCAGTAACACATCAGCAAAATATCAATGAAGTAACAGTAGTGAATCATCTGAATACATTGAGGTAAATATCTTGTAGATGGTCTGTTGATATATTACTTATATTAAGTAGATGTATTGTTAATATGTTACTTCCATTACGCATCCTTACCCAACTTTACCCAAATCCTAACCCTCACCCTGGCCCTGATCCTAACCCTAACCTTAACCTCAACCTAAAACTTAACCGCAACCCTCGTATGTTTTCGACATGTTACTGAGAGTCTGTTGAGTGTGTGTTTCATCTAAAAGGACCACTCAAAATAAAGTGTCACCCTTTTCTCTGAGTGCATTGTGTACAGAATTATACATAGTTTTGAACTGAAATGATTCACAAACTAGTAGTCATGACTATGTGTGTTTGTCTGGGATGCTGAGTCGAATATGTAATGTCTGATCCGACTCCTTAAATCAGCCTGTTCTTCATACACAAATTCCCACAACATTGTCAATGCAAGGAAAACAGCTCCTGCATATGATCTTATGACATATGATGGTTTTGAAGCACTGTCCCGAATGTGATGCCTGCTGAGGTTTCTTTTCAGGTAAAATGCTGCTCAAAGAGAGAGGGCAGTGAAGACAGTTGGAGGCAGTGACTATTTAGGCAGCTGCCTCCAGAATGGAACACACCATATGACTTGTCCTGATGGTACTGATAATTTAGATCATGAGTCAGTCTGGACTAGTCATTGTCTTAGACTTGATCTACATAGTCTTGACTACAGCCCTAGTGTTTTGTTATTCAGCTAGTTCTTGTTCAGCTGCTCCATCAACTCCATCACTGTGTCCCTCTCGAGCGCAGTAATAAACAGCAGTGTCCTCTGCTCTCAGACTCTTGGCCTCTAAGAACTGTGTACTTGTGGAAACGTCCTCAGTCAATATGAAGTGGCCTTTCATGGAATCTGCATATGTGGGTTCCTTGGATCGACCCGAGTCTACTCTCCCAATCCATTCCAGAGCTTTCCCTGATTTCTGCCTTATCCAGTGCATGTAGTAGCTGGTCATGTCATATCCAGAAATCTTACAGGAAATCTTCACACTTTCTCCAGGTTTCTTCACCTGAGGTGGAGACTGATCCATCCTGATCTCCTGACATGAGAAACCTTAAAAAGAGATACAGCATAGCAATAAACCATGAAACAAACAGAGTAATTCTCCATAAAGTGACGTACATGACATAATTAAGAGATGCCCTGTAAATTTAACCAGGCAATTCATCTAAATATTTTACTAAAATCAATCATTATATCACTACATAACGTGCTATAAGTAATTACTTTGTATGGACCATAAGATGAAACAAATGATGCTTGGAATCTTCATTATGAACCTAAAGCTGCCACAGTGGAGTCTAAATGCTGATGTGGCTCATACAGGTTTTGTGTAGTGAGTGATTATAAAGGGGTGGTGGAGCCTGAATTTACATATTCTTCTCTGCAGAGGCTTAGAACCAACCTATTCAAATTTTAGAAGGAGACTAATAGTTATTGTAGATTTTAAGTGTTTAAGTTTAAGGTAATACTGTGAAGCTCCTCCTTTCACTCTATTCTTCTCACTTAGTTTATCTTGTATACACAGTAAGGTAGTGATCATATTATATATTGTATATGTGTCTGTTACAGATGTTGAGCAAAACTCTGTTCCCTTTTTTTTTTTAATGTGTTCTTATCTTTGAATTGTCTGCCCTCTAGAGGCCTCAACATGAAAGGGTGACACAGTTGTCAGTAAGTAGCCCCTCACACACACTCACATACCCACACACCACCTTGGGAAGCCACACCCACATACTAACTCACACAAGGATCAAACTCATCATTAAAGGATCATCCTTAGAACATAAAATACTTTGAACAGAACAGTTTTCTATCGGTGAAACTTTTAGAAATCCCTTTAAAATTCATTATTCATACGGCTTACAATCAATACAAAATTAGGTAGACTATGTCAATACATATATATCCCATTAAAATAAAAAAAAAACAGATCATTGCTTAAAATACTGACTAGCATCAAACAGATGTTTAGATTTGACTAATATTTAAAAGTGATATTTGATTATGTTTTATTGAACTTTAGAAGAGCAGAGCAGTTATGTTGACTTATCTGCATTTTATTCAATTTACTGCAATAGTAACTATCTACCAATAAATATTATATTTTTCTGTAATGCTAATCCAGGTGGATTATGAAAACACACACACACACACACACACACACACACACACACACACACACACACACATATATATGTTGTTCTCCCTGCAAGCCACAATTTGCTGTACAGTCACCATCCTGTCTAATTTGTCCAGCTTTATCTTGTGTATATAACACACAGCAATATCAAGGCGTTCTTGTGTCATGGTACAGAGCCATGTTTTCAGTCTCCGAAGACCAATGAATCTTCATTCAGTGTCAGCTGAGGAGGGCAAAGGGTGCACATATCAAATACTAATAACTTATCAACTTCTGATAGTATATTTATTTGTCACTCTTCACATAATTCATTTTTTGACCAAACAGGTGATCACAAGATAATTAAGTATTTTCTAAAATTATGTTGAATATTAATTATCCCACACAGCAGGTGTGACCAAGTACATTCCTGGAGATCTACAACTCAGAGAGTTTAGCTCCAACACACCTGATTCTAATACTCAGATCTTCACATCTAGATGGTGTTGTTGTTTCTGCTCATTGCTAAGAGGATGTTTACAGCTCTGTCACATCTGGCCAACAGAAGATGAGCTTGAGCAGGTTTTTATACAAGTCTGCAGCGTTTTTGTGTCAACGTGACAGTGCACAGTAATAAACAGCCGTGTCTTCAGCTTTCAGGCTCTTCACCTGCAGGTACAGCATGTTTTTACTGGTGTCTTTAGTGATGGAGAACTGGCCCTGTAGTGACTGGGCAAATCTAGTGCTAGTGCCACTATCAATGCGACCAATCCACTCCAGTCCTTGTCCAGGTTTCTGACGAATCCAGTGCATGTGCCGGTAACTCATTGAGAAACCAGACACAGAACAGGACAGAGTGACTGATCTCCCAGGTTTCTCCACCACTGACTCAGAGGAGGTCAGTCCTTGTCCATAAGTATCTGAAAAAAAGATTAGACAGTAAATGATATGATTGATTGAGAATGATTAACTCCATGAAATTATACTCTTAGAGGAGAGAATATTCTAGATAACAGCAACAGTCTGAAAAATGTGGAACTTACATGAAACTAGTACCATAAAAGCACAATAACTTAGATTCATCTTCCTGTTGAAGCTCTGAACTGTAAATGGAGAATGTTGTGGATAACTGGGATAGTGAACAGTGTACTGTATATAATAGACTGTATTTGAATAGGGAGTGTCCACAATTTAGACCAGATTAAAGCCTTAGCTTCAGGCAGTCAAACA